AGCAAAGTGAAAAAACCGAACCGGACAGGATTACAAAAAAAAAAAAATAAAATAATTAAAATGAAAAAAAAAAATTAAAAAAATAAAAAAAACAACAATAACAAAAGAACAAAACAAACAAAAATATAACAAAACTTTAAAGATTAGTTTGGATTTTAAGGACTAAAGACCCACACAGCAACGAAGCAATATATATTGTTTGATATATCTCAAGATTAATTATATATATATATATATATATATATATATATATATATATATATATATATATATATATATATATATATATATATATATATATTTTTGTTTAGCTATAAGGTATCCCTCACACAGCGCACTTGTGTTTTCTCTATAGAACGATTTTGTTAAAAATTGAGCGTATCAATTCTAAAATATTTAAATATAGTTTAATGTTAAATTTAACAAGGAAATGAGGAAAGTTTTATGTCTGATAGATGTTAAGAAACTTTTGTCTTGTGCAATAATTAGAACTGATTCCCTTCAGAAGAAGAATTTTACACACTCTCTCGTTACGGAATGATTAGTAATATATATATATATATATATATATATATATATATATATATATATATATATATATATATGATACCCTAAATTTATGTATGGCTACTTCTCCTACAATCCTTTCTTAACAGATACAGCAGATAAGGCATTATGACAAAGGAAATAAAGCAACTTCTTGGTTATGGCCATCTCTTCATTAAATGTCATGATAAAAGAGAAATTGATTCGCCATGTGACAGAACCAGGCAGAAAAATTTTCAGCGAGAACTTATGGATAAACAATCATGCCTAATCAATACAACAAAACGACTGGAAGCCACGACATACTCCTTTCTGGTTCGGCTATTATTTCAAGCAGTATACCTCCAGCTCGTAGACTTCAGAAGTGTACTGAATTTTAAAAGCAATTACCGTTTGCACTTGAATTATGCCGCATATTGCGTCAACAACGTAATAAGGCTTTGCAAAAAGGAGATACGCTAAGAAATTTTTAGAAATTCCGTAAGAACTCGAAAAACAAAAAGCTAGACATAACATAAATAGTTTCATTAAAGGGAAGATTCTCCGTTTCAGATGATGCTAAGAACATTGCACGAATGCCAAACCAACTGGAAAGAACTAGAAGTGAAAACCAAAAGCAGTTTGAATGAATTTTCAGGGTGTGACTTTCACTATTAAATTGATTGTCTTTTTTATTTTTCAATGTATCTTTACTCTGTAACCTGTTTTTTAATTTTATTTTCTTGTTTTCTGCCTTGCTGAACCTTAAGAATTTAAAGGGGGTGGCACGGAATCGCCGAGGAAAAGTGTAGAGACCTAAATTACGATGTTTGAATAACAAAACAAAAAAAAACAATAAACCTTTATATACAAAATGATTTATAGAACAATCATTAGCACAATATACTTTTTAGCGGAATACAAAAAAAATAAATAATCAAAATTATGAAAAAAAGAAATGCAAACCTAGTTACTAAAAAGTATTTGTATTAATAACATCAAAGACAACATCGATGCTAGTTACTAAAATGAACTCAAATATAGTCCGATAAGTTAACCATACCAATTATATATTGTTTTGTAGACAAATTTTAAAAAGTGACTGAATTACAATATCGTGGTATTTAGCGGCATATAAATGATGTAAACCTTGTTTGAGAGCAATGTTTAAACAGAGCCACAAGTTTGCCGTCGATAATTTTATCACGATTAATGATTATGAAAAAAAGAAATGATATGATTAGTTTCACATTTTGTTCACTTCAAACATATTTTCGCAGATAAATTAGCATTATAATGTATTTTAAATTTGGCTTGAGGTAGTTTGCGGTAGATACATTGACCCCCTCCCCTAGATTCACCTATGCAAATACACAGAATAGATGTAATGAATCCCTATCAACGGGTAATGTAAACAGATGAAACAATCTTAAAGGTGTTGTTCGTCCTTAGGGTTCAAAGATGACCACGTTTTTACATTTACATTAACCGTTGATAGAAATACATTACATCTAGTACACCCATACACATAAAAACTCCTAGATTCCATTAATGTTTTCAACCTCAAACAGCCAGTTATCCAACCCACCCATAAACGGCCATAGAACACAATTAAATTTACTATATAGTCTCTACATTTTTTTCTCAGTACTGAACTTTCCACTGTGTGACAATCAATACAAATCATATGTTAATCTAAAATACCTTCAAAGATGACTTTACATGAAAGTTCTTGTCAAGGGTTGTCCTGCAGTTTTTTGAGAGGCTGAATTATAAACAAAACACCATGCAACGGAACACAGATTTCACTTCCAGATCATCACCATGGCCTTATTATACACTGTGCACTGTCGTCGAAATACACACAGACAACCACAGCATAAGCTCACATTCTAAAGAATAAACAATTGCCTTTAAAACCTTACCAAGAATGCCAAAATCTAACTCCTGTACCAAACAGAGACAGAAAAATGGTCTAAAAATAGACTGGGACTACATTCGTGGGTATTGAACTGGATTTTATTAATTGTGTACTGATTCCAAACATGGTCACATCTTAGACTGGATTCTATATAGACCCAGTGCCGGATTTAGACAAAGCGAGGCCCTAAGCTATCTGTAGCTTGTTTAGCTTATGCATAAATCCGGTACTGTATAGACCTAATGATAATATTCTACGATCCTCTATGGCATCCACTCACTTGCATCAGATAACCACTGCATTTTATGCCATCTTGACGTATCAGTCCCTAACAGTTCACCTTTATGTGCTACTAAGAGAGAGACCATATGATAATTAGAACCCAGCTAATGTATGACATCCAAGCAAACCTACAACTTGCTTAACTCCTACAGCAGAACAATTATATAATTGCCTGCGTTAATTGTTTGACAAACATGTCCCAACAACTAAGCGCAAAGTATCAATTCAAATGTGTTGTCCTTGGTATAGCAGTGTTATGGACCACTGCTAAAAGAGACCGCAGTAAAGCTGAGAGGTTTTGGCTTTCCATAAGACTAATTATTCGTAAGCAAATCTGTGAAGCCGCTAAGAAAGACGTCACAAACATAGTCCATGCAGCGAAATTAGAAAACTACAGTACTAAAATCACGGAAAGTTTCAGCTGCAAATAGCTCTTCGAGATTACTAACAAGCTAATGTCAAAGAACAAATGTACACCACTTCCAACTATTTTTTCTCCAGTTGACCTTTCGGACCTGTTTGCAAATTTCTTCGTGACTAAGTACAAACCATTAGAGATAGCTTGACAACACAATTTCAAGTAACTCATCGTCACCATACAGTTGCGATACAGAATTTCAGCGGCAACAGTTAGCAGCATTTGAACCTGTCTCTGTGGATTTAGTACGTACAATCGTGTGCACCAAAGTAATGTGATCTTGATCCAATTCCAACACCACTGCTGCTTGACTACTTAGATCCAATATTTTCTTCACTAACTGATGTTATTAATACATCTCTCTCATCCTGGAAATTCCCATCACTTCTCAAAGCTGCCATTGTAATGCCTCTGCTGGAGAAACCAACACTCGACCATAACGATTTAAAGAACTACCGCCTAGTTTCTAATCTCATATTCATGTAAAAAATTATAGGAAAATTTGTTCTATCCTAGCTCGTATCAAATCTGAATTTAAACAGTCTTTTTTGCAATGTACACTCATCATATTGGGATTGACATAGTACTGAAACTACTCTTCTGAAAGTAGTTAATGACCTTCTCTCTGCTTTGTATTGCGGAAAGATTCCAGTCCTCATCCTCCTTGATTTGTCTCCGGCATGTATTTGGCATTGGTTATACAGCCTTACTGTGGTTTAAGTATTACTTGGTGAACAGGACACAAATTGTGTCCGCAAATGGAAAAGAATCCAAGCCAGTTGATCTATGATGTGGTGTTCCACAGGGATCTGTTTTTGGACCTATTCTCTTCATTCTATACACTGTATGCTGATGATACCCAAATATACAAATCTAGCCACACAACTGTTTGTGGATCGATTCATATGCGATCACACACGTTTGCACGCAATCTGCCAAATGCTTTAGTGATTCTGGCATTAGGTTCATCATCAATGCGAACTGCACCCGACAGCTTACTGTTGCGTTAGCTGAACTTATTAACTACCACGAGTGTTTGGTTTGGTTATTGAAGATGATGATAGTCGCATTTCTATTTTTTGACAGTAACAATGGAAGTCTAATTTGAACTAGTCTTTCATTCACATCATCCGGGGATTTTTGAGTTTGTTAACTATATTATTTGATGGCAAACCAATCACCAGCTTCACGTCGTTCTTCTTCAGTGAATCCAGAAGATGGTGTAACTATCACACAAGTTATTTAAAATCAAGAAACCAGGATATACCGTTTAAAAGCACTCACGAGTTTGAAAATTATATATTTTTTTTATAAATATCTACTGTTCTTAAGAAATCTAACGTTTTATATATATTTCGAGTGTCAAAAGCTGTTGGATACTGTTTAGAAGGTATTAAAACTAGAATGAGTAATTGAAGGTTATTATTGACAACATCTTTACATGACGTCTGCTACATATTAAATAACTTAATATACTATAATGACCACATTGTTAACATCAAAAGGTTGGAGAGATAAAATCAGTTGGCAGTGCGGTCATTTTTGTGCTTCGGGTATCATATTTTAGATAAACTTTAAATGATTTGTCTCGTTTCTTATTTTTGCGTGTGTAATTTGTAAGATTTAGATTTTTAACTTAGCTTTAACAATGTTTCAGTCACATCGCTACGATGTCTGCAGTGTGACTGTTTATTGTGATGTCTAGCACTGGGGCATCTTGGCACAGACATGTGACAGGATGTCCCATCAGGTCACATTAATCCGACACCAGGCCGACCTGTCCTAACAAACACTAGCTACTTAACTAAGCGCCAAGCGAGGCAGCTGTTAGTACCATTTTAAAAGTCTTTGGTATGACTCTGGCGGGGTTCGAACCCGCGACCTTCAGCATCTGAGGCGGATGCTTTAACCACTAGGCCACCGTAGAAGTCCTTTTGCGTGTTTGAAATGAAGGTAATGAATTTTGCACATTGCTTTGGACTTTCTTTACTAGTAGGTAGCATAATTTCCTTAGTGAAAATGGTAACCTTTTAATTTTCTTCTCACTGAAAGAACGTATTGATTGTTTATTCAATAAAGTTGCCAAATTAATGTATCAGTAAAACGAACATGAAAATAATTCCTTATTGGTCAGATGGCACTCTACAATTTCGTTATTTGGGTAGGGTTGAATTTTCTTTTGAATAAAAAAAGAATTTTCCGGGTTTTCCTCGCTGGTTATCTTGGTTATTGCATATCTCGAGTACTGATAAAAGAGCCTATTTCCCATTATTTTGATTGATGGGTATAATTTAAGTTACAGAGTATACAGCTTGGCCTTGGTTTAAATGTGCATATATGAAAACAAAATTCCGATTGCTCCGTTTGGCCATTTTCAATAGTTGGTCTTCAATAGGTAAATCGTTATAAAAAGGAGCCGATGACTTTTTTAAAAAAAAAAAAACAAACAACAACCCACCCCAAAAAAACATTTGATACATTTTGCAATTCATCCATTGCACTTTCAAAAGCTGGTTCCAATTAAAACTACTGTGAAAACAAAATGGAGACTGGACGTAAAATTGACCTAAGTAGAGTTATGCTTTTAAGGAAGTTTTGCTGATGATAATCAAGTAATTTTACGCTTAACGTTCATTGTTCATCTTGACATACCATTTCGTTTTACAAATAATACCATATTTGGATAGTCTACGATACATTCTACAATGTATGCGATATTTAATATGATCTGTTTTCCAAATAAAAGCACAATTCCCTTATATGGCAAACGAAAGAACGAGGCTGAAAACGGAAAAAGTTATTAATATCGTGGACGATCCAAAAGAAAATATTGGGATTAAATTAAACTAGTATACAAGCATTTCTACGAGGAAATTGAACTATTAGTATCTAATAAGGACTATTTGCTGCTCCATTGATGCGTATAGGATCGTTTTTGTTTTCCAACCATCCCATTCCATTATCGCAAATGCATCGTCATCTCCTGTAAACGGGACAAACTTGCCCAAGTTGACTACGTTAGAGTATGGTTGCCCTTTGTATGGAGAGAATATACTGCTGGAAACATGTCAGGAGCTGTTTGGAAAGGAAAAACAACAGGTGATCATCTATTGTGAAAGAAATTTAAGACGTCTGCTCACAAATATACGTATCAATAATATATGCATAACCTAAAAGTTTAAACATTCATCTAGTAACTGAATGTCAGGTCTTGAAAAAATGTCAAGAAATAAATCCTTTGATGTATCATTTAGATGAATTCAATAAAAAGTATAATAAAGAGCGGACTTATTTATATTTAGACTTCTGCACATTGTTACACCATAATCATTGATAAATGAGGCGATCTTGTTTGCAAAAGTATGGCTACCATCTTTGCCGTTTGTCAAAACCGTAGACAACAGTGTTCAACCGGCTAGATTATCCAGTTTACCCACCATAGTCACCTCAACAGCGAATGCATTCCGAATTAAAACACTATAGTATTAATTGTTGAAAAAATGGGAATTGGGGTGGGCTAATTAAAGGTTTAAGATAAGCCCGAGATGTAAGGTTCACATTGCCAATTTCTACCTGACAAATGAATATGAAGAAAATTTTAAATCATGCATTATCGTAAAGGGACAGTGTTCTAAACACTTTTTAATACTTTTGGCTATCTCCACGTCTACCACGTAAAGAATTTGGTCTATTACATCTTTATTGTAGAATTTCAATCTCTGTTAATAATTATAAACTAGATTCAGCATGTTTTTTTAGTGTACCTGAACTAGCTAATCATGCTGGGTTTGAAAATAAGCAACGCAGAATAAGAACTGATTACAGACTATATATAATTAGAAAAAATACGAGTACAATCCTGTAAAAGTATGTTTTCGAATCTGAACAGCAAAGGTAATATACAAAAAGTACGATAAATAAATGTCAAGGTCATTCGGCATTGTACATATAATTTATATGACGGATCATGCATCGACAAATGCATACCAGAAATGTCATGTGGTGGGCAAACTAAAAAAAAAAATGCATTCATATATTGTGTCTGCCGATATTTCAGATGTGGATTCACAAACACCAACTAATTGCTCTACTATTTTAGACATACATTGGCGCTAGAGAAAGCAATTTTAGATCAAAACAATATATCGCCATAACAAAAGAAATTTACGCCAGAGAAGGTAATTTCTGATTAAATGGGTTATCGCCATCGCAAACCTGATACGATTTAAAAATGGTAAAAATTGATCAGCAGCCAATTTCGCAGATTAATTATGGTATTCACCATCTCATTCAAAGATGTATCAAGGTTAGGTTTCTAGCATCGCCAGGGAGGATACATTATAGCTTTTTGTTATGTTACGAATATGCAATTAGTTACTTGTGTGTTAGTTTTAAATTATTTTATTTTTTGTTTCGCTACATTTTACTGCAATTATTATTTTCACTGGATTTGACATTTTTTCCAGTAAAGTGTTTTGTATAGAGCGCAAAAGGTGTTGCATTAGTATTATTTATAGCTCACTCTGGTTCATGGAGCTTGCAAACATCGATTGGCTATTTCCAAGGTAATTTTTCGCTGCACATGTTACTCCTGTTGTAAACAGTTTATTTCTAGCGTGAGACTCGATATTTTAGTTTTGTTTACAGCGTGTTCAAGTTGTAAATCACGTAGCATGTCACGTGAAATACCATATGATCTAATATCGGGAACAGCCTTTTGGTATTAAATTTATTTAATCGTAAAAAATACCATTAGGAGCTCAAGACTATTTTCTGTTGTTGCCAGTTTTGAGTAATTTAAGAATAATTTATATCTCTGGAAATTAATTGCTTTTTCATCAAAGTCTTGGACTAAGTCAATCAGTGGAAATTATTTAAAATTATAGAGCTGGAGTATTATTTTTGATTCTCAAAATTTAATAAGGAACCGTTTCCATTAGTACAACGACTTCATCTGATGTCATCGCCTTCATATTGGAACTTCATAGAAATTCGATCCTGGATTAAGCTAAAACTGTTTAGTGATAAAACTGATTTTTCAATTCTGGGATTAATGTTTGAATTATTTTAACAAACTGTAAATTATATTTTTATATTTTTACATTGTTTTCTAGGGAAATAAATTATTTTTTAAAATATAAACAAAGCTTGTTGACTTCACTCTTTACTTTTGTTACATTTGTACAAGTCTACACTTTAGTTAAAATGTTATAGTTCATCAAGGTCAGACACACTGGGGGGATACATTAATGAAGAAACGCTTAATTATGCAACAATCATTTCCTTCAATACCAGTGTTAGAAGGCTGAAATTAAAGATGGCGGATATTATTTGCAGGGAAGAGCAAAAGAAAATAAAAACCATTTTATAATGGTGGAAAAGCCTTGGAATGACGGCAGAAATTAGTGTTCGTTATAGTGATAGCGACCACAACATTCAATAAATGCTTCAAGACGGCGTGTAAATAAATAAAAGCCTCATATATATGCCGAGTATATTGTTGCTACTTCAATTAAGAAGTCAGCCTACATCGAGAGAGAGAGAGAGAGAGAGAGAGAGAGAGAGAGAGAGAGAGAGAGAGAGAGAGAGAGAGAGAGAGAATGATTTTCAACATGTTGAACCAGTTACCAAACAGCTAGCAAATACGAATTTCGCTTGTGTAAATAAAATATTAACTTATCTTCTCCAAGATGATTATTTAACAAATTGCTAATCCTTATAGAAGTGGTCTAGTAGAAAGATATACTACCACGAATGGACACGAATAAAAATGTTTGCATGTCAGTTGTTAACTTGCCAAGGTCGGACGGCGATGGATTAAATTCAGCGTGAATAGCATACTATTGTATATTGTTAATATTTACATGACTAGACTTTTGATTATCTTTATACTTTACGTGCGAGTGTTTCTGCATGTGTGTGTTTTGTCCTATCTAAACCAGCTTATCTAGTGTGGGATAATGTTTTGGGTTTCATGGGCTAATATTGTGCGTGTAGGTGTTGGTCATGGTTTGGGTGGGGTGCTCTAAATGTTTTATTTAAACTATAATAGTAGTCCCACCCAGGATCTATTTTGTTGAAAGTTAAATTTAGTGAAAGATAGATGTAAAACACCGAGCCCCCAATCAGCAATGCCGCTGTTTAGATGGTTAAATATACAAAAAGGGTTGAAATTTAATGAACAATTTAATAATAGCTCAACAATCAAACAACTCAAATTTCCAATTACACATTCCTTCCGCTGTACCCTTTAATAAGCCTATTGCATCATTTGATTAGCAGTGAGACTGATTACATCTCCGTGTATTTTCAATTTATCTGTTGTACTTTTCCTTTCTCATATTTCTCCCAATTCCTTCTCTCCCTCTTCAACTTTTATCCAAATTCCTTCTCCTCCTATTCCACTTTAGAGATCTCTAGACTCCTCCTCCACTTCTCTGCCACGACTACTCTTATGTTGACTGTCTGTTTCGGCTTCAGCTTCAATTTCGTCTTCAACTCTTGAAGACTCGGAACTTAATGGAACCCTAAATTTTGTGTCTCCTAAAAATAAATCTTCCTTTTCGAAGCTTTGTCTTTCCTTAGAATCTACCTCTAATTTTTGCCGCCAAATTACGAGTGGCTTCGTTCTCGGAGTAAATCCTATCAACTCGCAATCCTTCTAGGCGAATACTAAATTTGCGCTTACGAGTTCTGAAAGTTATCATTCGGTCTGCATTGTAATGACACCCTCTATCGCTGTGAACCGATCCAATAAACTTAGCGACAATGTCCCTCTCACTGTCTGTCAACGTGGAGACTGAAAAAAAAATACGCCAAGTCCAAGGACTTCACTTTGATTTTTGGCTAATATTTAACAAAATCTATCGCCTGTGCCGATCCAAGATTCATGTCTCCGGCCAGTCATATAACCTTGCAAAAGAGATTAACA